CACATGCCTTCTTTGTCTTCCTCTACCCCACATTTCTGTTCCCCTCTGTTCCTACCTCCTTTCAGGTTGTCTATCTTAATTTGGGGGAAGCTGTATAAACTTTATAGCTTATCAGAACAGGTACTTGTTGAATTGACACATTTTATCCATAAAGTTTCAAACATAAGACCATTTAATTAAAGACATGGCCTGATTTCAACAGATAAAAATGTGGAGGATTCAGTGCTATATTAATTTTACAAAAGAACCAGTCTGATTAGAAGAGGTCACAGACTAAACCAGTTCAAGTTGGTCCACAGAGATGGTTGTCAATAACCAAATATACTCCACAACATTTAGCAAAGTGCTGCTCAAGCAGCTAGTATTCTAAAATGTCTTATCATTTTTTTTTCAGTGTCTTGCTATGTAGTTCAGACTGGACTTGAACTTACTTTGTAGCCTTGGCTACCCTCAAATACGCAGTGATCATCCTGTCTCAGCATCCTGAGTGCTGGGATGACAGGTGTGCAACACCTGTCTAGAAATTTCAGTTTCTAGAAATTTCAAGAAACTGAAGAAATGGCCTCATTGTGTCTTTGATTTCTAACTCACTCCTCCCCAGAAATAATTTTTAAAAAGAACTTAAAAATCTTTCTTCTATGTTTATTAATATGAAGTAAACACATTTCCTTTAATTACAGATTAAAAAGCACATCTGTTCTACCTGAACACAATTTAAATTTATGAGAGGAAAACATCCTTTTGTCCATGTTGCTGCTCCTAAGTGTTTCTCAAAAGCTGAGGAAACAAGTTCTGAAAGCAAACTTTTCCTGTGTTCCAAGGAAGAGGGGAACATGGGGCTTCTTGACCTATAAAACTCAGTATTTTGGAACATCCATAATTCTTCCAAGTCTGTGCCAGTCAAATGGAGACTCCCTTCAGCAAACCATCAGTCAGCCAAGGCTGAATAGTAAAGCTTTCTTCCCTAGGAGCTGACAAGGACAGGACCCAAAGCTCCCTGAAAAAAAAAAATTCTCAACCTAAGCTTACACTACAAACTGCTGGAAAAGTCAGATGGAGGGGATGACAGGAAAAGCAATTATTTCTTCTGGGCTTCCTCTCTGTCTGGATTTTAAGGAGACGAATACAAAATTCCATCACAGATTGAAATGCTATCTAAACATTCTTAAAAATGTGGTCTTTCTCTCTGAAATATGACCTGCTCTGCTGCAGCAACCTGTAACCCATTACCATGTTAAGGTGGGGAGTGCGACATTCCTGCAGCTTGCCTACTTCTGTGCCTGCCTCTTCAATACTATTACTTCATGACCCAAGGGTTAAATATAAGTAACTAAAAGATATGTCTGCAGAGCATGACCCAACAAAAAGTCCTGATGAACCACTTTATTCTAACATTCTTGGAATTTTAAACACCTGAAACTTTCTTAATGAGAGTTTTAATGTTTCTGGTGAGCCATTCTAAGTGAAGGCTGACTCACATTAAGCAGTAATGTTATTCCAAATAGTAGTAAAGCCAAACTATTTATGCAAAAATCAAGGGGGATGTAGTTCAGTGGTAAAGTGCTCCCCTAGCATGTGTAAGGGCCAGGTTCTAGCCCAAGCACTAGAGAAATAAAAAAAATAAAAGATTTCCCATGTATAGTAGACTGCTAACTTGTGGGCAACTTGTTACACCCAGCTGAACTCAACTATTGTGGTGATAGATGTGGGAGTCCCACGTGAGGGTGGGTGCCAGCAGCATAACAGGTAGAGCTAGAGAAGTTGTTATGAGGCTGTTTGGAGAAGCTGTTGGAAGCTGCTGGTTCTCTTGAGCTATTCTGCTGGGTGAGCTTGTCATGGTGGCCTTCCTAGTAAACTTTGCTGTTCTCCTCAGAAGAGGAGCTTAGGCCCTCTTGTCGCTCAGAATTCCTACAGTTTGGGGAGCTTTGGTCCTCATCTTGAGCATCACTATACCTGGCCCTGGAGGAGATGATGCTCTGCTCAGCCTAATGGAGAAGCTAGTCATGTTGGCTTTCCTGATGGGAACTCAGCCTTCTTCATCACTGGAGCTCAGGACCTCAGTGTTATTGAGAACAGCTGAGGTGCTTTTCAGGGGACCTTAAGCATTGCTTTCTGGCTCCAGGCCAGATCCCTCAGCCTGCTAGAATAGATGCTTCATCCTGCTGGCAAAGACTTTCTAGCTTTCACCACTGACCTTTGGGCCTACTCAGAGTAGAACCATGAAGTAGGTCTGCATGAAATATTATCATGGGATACAGGTCCTCAGCTGGATTTTTTGATCTTTAGTGTATGGACAGATTTCCTGTACTCTTTGTATGATTCTTCAGGTGATTCATTATTAAATAACTTTATGTGTCCCGTATTGTATTGTTTCCCTCGCAAAAACCTCAAACTATGACACTATGCAAGAATTAAGATTTAAAGCCAATTTAAATGAATACTCAAACATTGATTAATTTTTTTTTTCTATATTTAGGACAGGGTCTACAGGGTCCCACTATGTAGATCAGACTTGTAGTGATTCTCCTGTTTTCAGCCTCCCAAGTGCTGGGATTACAGGCATGCACCACCACGCCCAGCCTCCATCAAAGTCTCAGTGCTCCCCAAGTACAGAGTTGGCACCACACACCAGGGATCGAACCCCTGCCACTGCACTCTGCCTAAGTAGGTGCTTTAGTCCATTGAGCTTTCAGGCCAGCCCAAAAAAATCCTTGAGAAGGATTTTTTTTTTTTTGCTGGCTCAGGCTGCCTTAAGGGAGGGTCTGGGATGGCATGTAGAGCTAAGGACTGAACCGCGGTCCCCTGCACCTGACTGGGTTTGCCCAAGCAGGTGGTTAAACAACTGAGCTAACCTGCAAGTCCTCCTGATTAAAATGTTTTTATGAAACCAGTTATAGTGGCCTACACCTGTAATTCCAGCACTTGGCAGGCTGAGGCAGTAGCACTATTTCGAGTTTGAGACCAGCCTGGGCTACAAAGTGAGCTCAAGGCCAGCCTGCACCAAATAGCAAGACCCTGTCTCAAAAAAAAAAAAAAAAAGCTTTTATGACTAAGAACTTTTACTTGTTTACAATTAATAATTTTATATACACCAAATAACACAGTTTGAAAAATATGTTGTTTGTAAACTACATGTGCTGAAATGCAAAAAAAAAAAAAAAAAAAAAAAGGAAAGACAGAGCTTTTATCTTCAATGAGTTTAAAAACTACTGTAGTTAAGGGGACAAGATGTGTTTTCCAGTGGGTCAAAGGAGACCATACCAGCCAAAGGCAAAGCATGGTAGAGGGATGTGAGAGCCCACGAGCAGCCAGAACATGCATCTCATGAATGACACTGGGATCAATTTTCTCTGCAGAATGAAAGGAGCAGGCCAGACAAATTCCAATTCCTTTGAGCACTAAAACTGATTCCTTTGGTGTTATCCAAATGAAGTAACCAGAAAAAAACCATAAAAGTAGTATTTGAGCTGGCCCTTAAAAGGGTAAGATTTTGAAATATAGGTACTGAAAGCAAAAGGAAACATTTCAGGCACAAAGAAGTACATAAGTATAGATCCTGAAGGCACTCAGCATGCTTCTATACCACCAAATCTTGGCCATGAGTAGAACACAAGAAGAGACAAAAATCAGAAATACAGACAGAAGTCTTGAATGGTGAACAAAGGATCCTGGATTTTATTTGGGAAGTCAGAAGGCCCTGAAGGTTTCTGAAGAGGGAGATGATGATCAGACATATATCAGAAAGAGTGTTCTTGAACTACTCTGTTCCTCTTTATTACCTCCAAGGGCTCATTTACCTGAGGCATGGCAGCTAGAGGAGCAGTGCTCCATGGAAGAGATCCTGGTAGACAAAACTAAAGCAATAAGGGCTAAGGGCTATGTGATGGGATCCCAATACAGGGTTTCCTTTTAACAACCCAATATGTCTACAACTGAACAGGGAAAAGAGCAATAAAAAGAGAGCTGGGTAAAATTTAAAATGTAAAAGACATACTTGTAATACCTGTGAGTCACTAGAGAGGCAAACAGACATTAGAGATCAGAAAATTTCCACATAGTCACACCCCCTTGCCTCCAACCTAGGTAGAATAATGAACGTTTTTACTGATTACCTATACTGAAAAAATCCCAAAGATGGCAAACAGCAGAACTGAAGCTATTGGAGTGTTATGCTCCCGACCTAACAATGAAAAGGGAGGACTGAACACAGTAAGAGGAAGGCTAGAAAGGCATGCTCAGCATTTCTGTTATGACAGCAATTTCTGAAAAATGATGCCCAAATACAAGAACAGGATCCAAATAAAAAAGAAAAAGGCTAATGGATAACATCTGGCCTCTCAATCATTGAAGAATCTCTGCTCCCCACACACTGTTTATCCCTTCATTGCATTCTCAACAGCTCTCCTTGACTAGATCCAAAAAGACCTATAAAACTCTGAAACAAATCCACAGTTACCTGCTTGCTGGTGAGCTAGGTATGAGAAATTGTAACTACATCAGGCAACTTTCTTTAGCAACAACAAAATAGCAAAATTGCAACAGAAGCTGGGGATACAGCTCAGTGGCACAGTGCCTGCCTGGCAAGTCCAAGGTCCTGAATTTAATTTTCGGTACCAAAAAAAACAAGAGAAAATCTGCAAGAGCTGATAGACAGAAGCAGTGACCATACTGAGTCACAGACACAAAACAAAGAAAGGCATAATAAATGTCACTCAGGTGAAGGCCTGTATGCCCCAGCACCAGCTGAGCTGCGCTGCAGTTTATGATCATAGTCCAAGGAATACTAAGAGAAAGCTCATGGCCAGTCTAGGTAGCATGGCCTGGGGGTGGGGATGCAGTGTTCGGAGGGAGCATGGGAAAGTCAAAGGTGGTTTTTGCTGTGCATGCAACACATCCACAAGAAAGCATCCTGCACGCAGATAGATCAACATTTTGGCCACTTGGCGTTGGGTCTTAATAAAATAAGGGGAGTATAATTAACAGAGGAATAAGTTACTTACTTGCCTTCCATCCTGCCCCACATTTGTCTGACCTCTTACAACAGTTCGAATATTGTCATCCAGTCTCCTAGCAAAAAAGTTAAAAGGATATAAATCAAATGATCTCCATTCTGATGGACCAAAAGAAAAAAGTTAGTGATTTATCCATCAACTTTTTTTTTTTTTGAGACAGGGTCTTGCTATATAGTTCAGACTGTCAAATTTGAAATGATCCTCCTGCCTTAGCCTCCCAAGTGCTGGGATAACAGGCCTGTATCACCATGCCCAGCTTATGTATCAATTTTTGCAGATTCTATTTACTCATCCAGAAAAACAGAACAAGTGTGAGTGATAAAAGAATGAGGTCTTGGACCAGCCAGGTGTGGTGGTGCACATTTCTAATCCAAGCCCTCTGTCAGGCTGAGGCAGGAGGATTGTGAGTTAGAACCCAGCATGGGCAACTTACTGACTTAGTGAGATCCTAACTCCAAATGATAATGATGATGCTGATGGCAATTTTTAATGAACAGTCAGAGTTCTCCAAAAGGACTGATACAACTTTAGTACTATTCACGGAGTAAGTCAGGAAAGACAGTCACATACAGTGGTACATGTTTGTGATCCCAGCACTGAGGCAGGAGGAACACTGTGAATTTGATGCCAGGCTGGACTACACAGTGAGTTCCAGGACAGCCTAGACTACACAGCAAGACTCTGTCTCAAAATAAAAACAAACAAAGAAAAACAAACAAGGAAGACAAAATTGTAGAAGTTTTAAAGGAATAAGCCTGAGAATTCAAATTACCACCACAAAATTCCTTTCTCAAGAGAACATGAAAGGCTGAGGAGCCAGGGTGATGTGAACCAGCACTTACTGATCATGAGTCCTGATATGCATGTAGGAAACAGATGTATGGCTTCTGGGTCCAATTTTCACTGAGGCTCAACAGGGGCCACAAAATGGCACCTTGGCAGGAGGCATTTCTATCACTCAATTTCATTTCTCATGAAAGGTATAGTAGTGAGAAGTGATCAGGGAATTTCTATTTTCTATGTAAACCCTGGATAACGGAGTGGTTTCTACTAGAATTGTTACAGCTGAAGTCCACCAAAACAGTAAGGAACTAGTAAGGCATGATGGTACATGCCTGTAATCCCAGCACTCAGGAAGCTGAGGAAGATCGTTTCTCCACCTTTTGGCTAAGATCATGTGTAGGAGCTGAAGCAAGAGGACTGCCACATATTCAAGGCCATTCTGGGCTACACAGTGATTAAAGGCCAGCCTGAACTACAAAGCCAAAACCTTTTCTCAAAAAACAAACAAATAAACAAACCAAAAAAGAAAGGAGGGGAGGGGAGGGAAGAGGAGGGGAGGGGAGGGAAGGATAGAGAAGGAAAGGGAGGAGGGGAGAAAGAAAAACTTCACTGCACTTTTTTGTTTTTGTTTAGTTTTTTTGAGACAGGTCTCTGCATGTAGTTCAGGCAGCCTGCCTCAACCTCCTGAGTGCTGAGATTACAGATGCGTCCCACCACTGCTGGCTTTCTTTGCACTTCTAAGCCACTAATAAAAGAATATATTAATGGGCCAAAGGTGTTCACTGAAAGACCCAAAAGCAATAGAGCAAAAAATTCCATCTCCTGGATTCAAAATGAATACTTTCATCAAAAATTAAAAATAAAAAAATCACAAAACTGTATCATGGGAAGTAATTTAAGGAAGATAAGGAAGTCAATCTATTTAGACAATGAACTGACATTTATTGATGAGTACTTTCCATATATCAAAACCATAAACTCAGACATGCATAAGCCAGAACAAGGGTATTGGGCAGGAAGGACACTAACAGTCACCTTGGACAATCTCATCTTTGGCTAATTTCATTTAATCCTAGACTACAGGGCTGGGGAGATGGCTCAGTAGAATAAGCACTTCCCTGGCAAGCGCAAGGCCTGAGTTCAATCCCCAGTTCCACAAAAAAAAAAAAAAAAAAAAAAAAAAAAAAAAAAAAAAATCCTAAACTACAAACCAGGTAAACTAATAGGTGACCAAGACATACATGTATAAACCCAGCTCCATACCTGATCTTTGACAATACAAAAAAAGAAAGAGAGAGAGAGAGAGACATAAATCTATTAGGGAAGGGAAATCACTAAAAAATATCATAATACTGTATATCTGAAATCCCAACACTCTGAGAGGCTGAGGCAGGAGGATCACCATGAATTTGAGCCTAACCTGGGTAAGACTCTCTCAAAATTTAAAAGGGGCTGGGGCTATAGTTCAGTGTGAAGGTTCAATCCCCAGTACCCAAAAAAAAAAAAAAAAAAGTAGAAAAGTTCTTTGCCTTTTACAATTAGCTGTTTTGAACAAGCTGTTACAGCTTCTTTCCTTTTTTATAAATAATGAAGACTGGCCACAGAATAAAGTTCCTTGCCGCAAGGCTTATACGGAAACATAGGTAAAAGAATTACTTTTTTTTTTTTTTAAGTTGAGGTTTCAGTGCTCTGAGTGACTCCAATTATGATTTCAAAATTATTAAATTAACAATACACTTCTCATAAACAATCATACAAGGCTGGGAATACAGCTCAGTGGCATAGCACCTGCCTGGCAAGTACCAGGTCATTAGTTCAATTTGCTGTATTAAAAAAAAAAAAAAAAAGATTCATACAGTGTTACTTACCTTATTTTCAGTCTAATTTTGTTCACGACTTCATCAATATTTGCCAGAGACTAAGACAAAGAAAAGAAAAGTACTCCACTGTTATTTTACCTCCTAGATTTCCTCTCCCATAGGAAAAGGATGAGCCATAAAGGTGATTTATGAAATCTCAGTTTTACCTCACAATATTATATCACTGTACAAGAGGAGTTGCAACTATTGCCAAATCTTGCCCAGCAGCTACGTTTTATAAATAAAGTTTATTGGATCACAGCTACAACCATTCATTTACATACTGTCTACCACTACTTTTTAGGCTAAAATAGCAAAGTTGAAAAGTTGTAACAGATACAGCATGGCTCACAAAGCCTAACATATACATTACCTGTAATTTGCAGAAAACTGCTAATTCACAGTACATAGGATTATAACAAATTTATTAAAACAAAGAAAATGGATGCACTATTACTACACATTAACAATCTGGATAAATCTTACTAACACAATGTTAAGAAAAAAGGCCAGAACCAAAGGCACATACCACATGGTTGCATTAATGCAGTTTGAAATCAAGTGAAACAATTCTCTCATGTTAGAAGTCAAGTTGGTGGTTATCTCTGGAGAAGGCAGTGACTGCGGGACAGCAAGAAAGGCCTTCTAAAAATGCATTCTTTCTTTTTTTTTTTTTAACATTTAGTGTGTGTGTGTGTGTGTGTGTGTGTGTGTGTGGCCAGCTCAGCCCACCAGGGGGCGCGGCTGGCTGGCATGTGGTGCTGGAGGATTGAACCGCGGTCCCCGTGCTTTGCCAAGCTTGTTCCAAGTAGGTGCTTTAGACCACTGAGCCATCTCTCCAGCCCCTAAAAATGCATTATTTCTTAATCTCAGTGGTGGTTACTTGGCTGTCTTCACTTAGTGAAAACTCACCAAGTTGCTCTCTCTATATCTGTATACTCCTCTATGCTATACTTCAACAAATAAATTTACTTTTTAAGTGTAGAGATCCACTGGAAAAAAGTGTGGAAGGATGCATACTAGCAGCATAATATACTAGCAGTTAAAATCTATGAAATCTGCATTGATAATTTTAAATATATGAAAAGTTTTGAAATTTTCCTCTTTTGTCTATGAGTATTTTCAATCATCTGTATTAACTGTATACCACGATTATAAAACATTTCTTTTAAAATAATGAGAAAATGGGCCATTAGAAATGAGAAAGTATGGGAAATGGTGCCCCCTAGTGGATGAGAGGAGGAACAACTTTATAGCACCCTTCAACTCAAGTTTCCAAAATAGTTTTGTAAATCCTTTTCCTCTCTCTCTCTCAATAGGTATTTTTCCTTAGAAGGAACTGGAAGTGGTACAGGAATTTATAAATTGTTACCCACTGCCTCTGGTGGCAGGAAGCTTGGAGTCTTCCAAGTGCAGTTCTGGTAAGAGAAACACATCCCAAATACTTGAGATATCATACCCTCTGTTCACATCTTACCATTCTGATGGAACCAATAGTTAAAATTTTCAGAAATTCAGAACTAGTTTGGGGCAACGATAAATCTCACAAAAGACATGTTACTTTAACTGAGGAATCCAGTTCAACTGGGTTCAATCTAATTCTCTCAAGCTTATCACTTCAAAACTGAACTGGGTATAACTTAAATTACTACCACCAATGTTGATAGCAAACCCAGCTGTCTAAGATCTGTGGTCTGGCTCAACTCTACCAATACTAATTTGCTGGAGGGAAAGCTGTTCAAGCTCTTTTTCTATTTCATCCTATGGATAAGAGGCATAACAGTTCCTGGTCTGCCTATCTCTGCTGGAGCCTGTTTCTTTAAAAGCGTTCTTTGGTATTTAAAAAATGTTAGTACTTGGGACGTCTGGGTATGGGTAGCCATGAATTTTTGTACTATTCTCATCTTCTGTGAAAATAAGAACTCCTATCAAAATTGTATAATTTATACACAGATATAAAAATTATATTATGGAAATAAATGATTTTATTTTTTTTAATGTGTTTTGTACAGGGTCTCACTACACATTTCAGACTCACAGTGATACTCCTGTTTTCAGGCTACCCAGCACTGGGGTTATAGGCATGTGCCACCACACCTGGACTTGGCCAGCTCAGTGTGCCCAGGGACAGGGCCAGTGTGGCATGTGGTGCCAGCGATTGAATCCTGGTCCCTGCGCTTGCTTAAGCAGGTGCTTAGTCCACTGAGCTATCTCACTGGCCCTCAATAAATGATTTTTATTACAAATACAAAAATATCTATAAACTGGGCATGGTAGCACATGCCTTATAATCCCAGTACTCTGGGAGTCTGAGGCAGGAGGATCAACAATTTAAATCCTGCCTGGGCAATCTAGTAAGACCTTGTCTCAAAATTCTAAAATTATTAAAAATGAAGTGATGACAATTTAGCTCAGTACAAAGACTCTTGGTTCAATCCTCAGTACTGCAAAAAATAAAAATAAACTATTAAAAACTGTCAAAACACATCAATCAGCCATAGCCCTTCAAGGTCAATGAGAACTCAGGACATAGGAGAATCTGTACTGTAACATCATGTAACTCAGTTGTGGCCCAAATTTTCTGATCAAGATTAAGGGGCCACAGAGGAAAGTGATCGATGATGTAGAGTGTGCCTAAGGAGAGTCACATGGGGAGAAAACATTCTCTCAGGCTTTCACAGAGAGCAAATTGGTCAACCAATGGCCGTGACTTATCCATACAGCTGACACTGACAAAGGATCTACAAACTGCAATACAGGGTTTCAGGGTAAATCCTGAGGGGATTTGACTGACCTTGTCAGATACAAAGTTACATTTCTTGTTATATAGGTCTTGCTTTATCTTGGTCTTAACCATCCAGCACAAAAGTATAAAAATGAAGCATAAAAAGTAAAGCTATATCAATATGCTGAGCTGTAAAAGGCTCAAGTCAACAACTTCTGCCATTGCCAGTCCAATGGATAATCCACTACTATTATGGACTACTGGACTATATTGGAATATTTTGCTGAATTCACCTACAATATTTAAATGACATTGGAATACCCATATCTGACAAAACTAAACAAAAAAAGGGGGTACAAATGAAGGACCATTTTGTATCTGTATATTCAAAATAGTTAGGATAGGTATACAGCTACTTTCTCTTAATTCAATGAATACAAAGATTTGTACTAATAGTGTTTGTGGACAGGATATCATTTCTGCATCTTGTACTATGAATAACCACTAAGAAGACAATATGCAATGTATTAATTATTGAAACTATCCTACTAATCAGTTCTGAAACTATTTCATTGCTATTTGTTTCTCAATAAAATTATTTTAAAAACACACCAATCGGCAAACATTCAGATAATAAAAGATGATAAGCTAAATATAATGGCACATACTTATAACTGCAGCACTTGGGAGGCAATGGCAGGCAGATTTTGAGGCCAGACTACACTACAAAGTGAGATCTAGATTTTAAAAAAATTATATATATATATATATATATATATATATATATATATATATATATATCAGCGATGGCAAACTTTTTAGAGCTTTCAATGATACAAATAGCCTGTTGTGGCGCTCATGCCATCAATTTGCCACCACTGGTATAGAGTAAATACCAAGAGCTCTCACAGGGGTCTGAACCTGAACTGCTTGAACCCGCTCCTATCTGCTCCCTTTCCCAGGGATAATGACTGAGCCAGTTTCTCTTCCACTTTCTCAAAGATAGCCTGTGTTAAAAGGATACCCATAAGTGTACTACACCATGCTTGTTTCACTTAATAATATTACTTGGAGGTCATTCCACATCAGTAAATATTGGGTTGGTTTGTTGTTTTAGTAAATATTGTTAGTGGTACACGCCTTAATTTAATAATCCTTAGACATGAAGGTCTTAGCTAAGCCCTTCCAATTTTTCTAAGAGGAATAATCCAGAATATTTTTGCAGTCAACCACACTTAGGAGAGAAAAGTCATGAGACAATCTGAGGGCCTATTAGTGGAAAAGGCAAATAAACTAGGCTATTTGTATCTAGTGGACCTTTTAACCACCCCTAGAGACCCTGGTCAGAGAGGTTATGAAGCAGAGAAAATGGCTTTTGAGCCCATGCTAACAAGGGGGAAACATTTAAATATTAGGTGTTCCGTGAATATAGTTATTAAAAGAAAGAAATATCCTAAAAGTAATCTGACTAGGTGGAACATAGCCTACTGCTTTTCCTCTATTTTCCAGATTTCCTACTTGGGAAGCAAAAGGGAAAGGATGCAAACACTTCACATGGATTTATCATGAAACTGTTCTGGACACTTCACAGAAAATACTTCCTTTATCCTCTAAGCCATACTAGGCAAACTATTATCTTCCTCCATGCTAGAATTTGAAAAATGGCCTTAAAAGGATGGACACTTTGTCTGAGGTCATGGAGATGACCTGCAGCATAGGTGGGCTCAGCGAAGTCTGTCTGACTCCAAGGTCTCTGCTCTTCCTCTCATTCAGCGGTTCATTTATTTGTTGTTATTTTGGGTTTTTGCTGTTGTTGTTTAAAGACAATTTCCTACTATGTAGCCCAGCCTGGCCTCAAACTCATGATACTCCTGCCTCAGTTGTTCAAGTGCTGGGATTACAAGTGTGCACCCTACATGTGGTATGCAATGACTCTGGACTTACTTTTTCTTCACCCCAAAATACTAAACAGATATAACCTACTCCTACTTCCCTATACAGGAATCCTTACTGCACTGGAGTTGGGGAAAAGCCCCACCACAATCCAGATGGGCTACTTAGGAGGAGGTGGTACATCCTCTCTTTGAGAATCACTCTGATTTAGTTACAATGGTTGTATAATTTTTACTGTATAACTTTTCAAATGCTTCAATTATTGAAAGATATTTCTTTTTTATTTTTATTTTTTTAAATTGAGAAATAAATATGAGATGGTTTCACAGCTGATTAATAGGACAGTTTCGATAATCAATACATTGTACACTGTTATCTTCTTAGTGGTTATCCATAGCACAAGAAGCAGACAGGATATCCTGTCCAAACACTATTAGTACA